TATAAAAAAAGGCTTCCGTGAGGACAGAGAACAGGTTTAGTAAAAAGAAAAGTAGCCTATATTTACAGGTTTATTTAACGTGTACCTCGAAATGATTCTAAGAGGATTAGAAGTCCTACTGTGATTTAATATCTGCGGATGTAACCATAGAAGCACACGTTTCACCGATAAAACTGTATTGATAGAAGATTTAAGAGAAACACGGGAAAGTAAACCTATTAGAAAAGGTAATAAATGGACGTAAAAAAAAGAAAGGATTAAACTCTGTTAGCAGATGGAAAGCATGGTTCTTAGAACTTTGAATATTCCTTTGGCCGAGTTAGATATCAGAGATGTCAAAACAAACTCTTTTATATATTCTGGCTATTAAAGTAACGAACGAAAGAAAGATTGGCACAGAAATCCGAAGAGTCAGGGGATGAGTGAAAGATGATTCTTTTAAAGAACTGATCAACGTAACAAAAGAATTCGCTTAGAAAGAAAGGAAATTAGTTAGGAATTAAATGTAATGCCAAATGTACAGATCAATACTGGAAAAATTTCGTAATATAAGAAAAAGAAGTTCTAAGGCAGATTTTATGTTTTATCTATAATTGTTGAGAATAAAGTATGTGAGTAAGAAGGAATTTTTAAGGATTACTAAAAGTGTTACCGTTTATCAAGAAGACTACATTGATATATCTGAAACCCCTAATGAAGAAAGAAAGCTTGTAGAATTTAACATTTACAAGGCAAATGGAAATAAAAAAAAAAAAAAAAATGGAGATAGCAGTCAGATTTATACTTGACAAGTTTGAACAAAATAATGAGGAGCCGTATAGCACAAGTGTCGATGGAATTAGCAAAAAGGAAATTGTCGTGATTCCGGATCTCCGAGATCCGTCCGAAATGTGTGTGTGCGTGTGTAACATATATTTAAGCAGCAAAAACCCATTTAAATTAGTTCTATTACATTCAGGTCTATAAGCCGTCTGACTTGCGACTCGTTACTAATTAAATGTTCACAGTATTGAAACACGACCTCTTTAGCTACATACCTGACATTTACCAGTAGTTCGAGACCTCACATTGCCTCTTCTTTAAAAATGATATTAGTCATAACAAGATTCAATTTTGATATTGGATCTCCAATACTAATAATATTACATTGATCACACAAACACCACATTCTTTCGTTGGCTAGATGGCCAGTTGAAGATTTTGCAATTCATGCATATATCGATTAATCACAAACAATTCAATTTTCAAGTATTAAAATTAGACAATTAAGAGTAGATAATACGAAAATCATGAACACTACAAAATTCACAAATTTATCATATTTTATGAATTTACACAGGTGGAATATTACAGTTGGAATTTTTAATGTGAGGTGCCGTAATGCGTTGATATATTTACTATATAAGCGATAATGTAACTTAAATATTATCGCTTATATATATATATATATATATATATATATATATATATATATATATATATGTATGTGTGTGTGTGTGAAAAGTGTATATAAATATAAATAAATATATATATGTATAATTATTTATATATATACGGTACTTATTAGAAAGCGCTCAATATCAGAGATAGAGCTAACATATTTGTTTGTATAGATATGAGTTTGTGACCCTGGGTTTCACGCTTTAGAGATCGTCAGACAACGCTAAAGCGTGAAACCCAGGGTCACAAACTCTCATCTATCCATCTATATATATATATATATATATATATATATATATATATATATATATAACGCATAACGACTTTTAAAGCATTTCATCTGTTATTTATTTTGAATTCAAATTCTAAAGAGTGGCACATTTTTTGAGGTTTTTAATTCATCGTGTTTGTATAGAAATAATTTCTTACTATAATTTATTACAACATTCATAACACTGAGCTGTTTTGTCATCCGATATTTCCCACTACGAGTAATTAGTTGAACACAACCGAGAAAATATTCATCTAAACCAGTTAAAATAATCTGTTTAGGTAGATTCTCTGATAATTGTACTAAATTATTTAAAATATATTGCTTAATTAAGTCTTTATAATTATAATTATTATAGATAATAATATAAATATTCGAAAATTATTTAAATATATCTTTCATGGTTGGATCTATATGTATAGCCGGAGTAGGAAACTTATGTGGTCTTTGAATAATGAAATATAGAACTGTTGAAAATGTTTATACAGAACTTTTAGTTAGGAAAGATAATTTCTATGACAACTTAATTCACTTCGTTCCTAGCACGGGTTGACGACTCCTTATGTAAAATTATAATCAACTCGAATTATATAAAATATCTTACATAACGGGATTCGACAGTTTAAAAATGCGTCTAATAAATTTCAATTTCGTTTAAAACAACTGTAATACGCTTAATATTATCAGGTATTGTTAAATTCTTTGGAAACCTAGATGTAGCGTAATTTTTGAATATACCTATTTGAATATGAAATATAAAGTAGCAAAAATGCCAGGACACCGCTAACAAACTCCTGCCTAGGATATTGACTAATATTTAGTTCTTGATAACGATAAAAATGGTTGACAGTACTAGAATGAAAATATCCTCTTCGGAAAAAAAAAATATTGACAATTTTTATCCGTATTAGCAAGAACATATTTTTTTTAAATGGAAAAATAAAATATTAACGAGAGAAATATTATTTACTTTTCTAATACTGTTCTCATCTTTCTCATCATTGCGAAGACGTTTCGGTCGTTATGCTCCGTGGACTTCCTCAGTTGTTTCTAGATGTTGTAGAGTAGTTTTCACAGTGAAGGCTTGTATTTCACTAAGTCGGTCCTAAATTAGGTCCGACGTACAAAACGTTAGGAACTTGAAAATAATAGTTAATTACGCAGCAATCTAGTTGTGGTCGTTGATACTTCAATGTCCGACATCGACTGACTCACTCAACTCCACTGAGCCCAACTGGCGACCGCTACTACTACTACTACTAATTATGTGTGGAAGAGTCTATTGCAATAGAATAGGTGATGTTCTGGTATAACACTAGATCATTTTAACATTCCGCGAGTTCGTATTTTTTTACTAGACAATCACCCAGTTGATTAAAATGTTGGTTCGTGAAGCTGACGGTATAGCAACTGGATACCCAATCCCTGGGCAGGATTAGGCAGACTTAAATTCACTGGAAATCAAGTTAACTCTGAACACTAAAGAAAAACAAGATCAATTTACAAATTATCCTGCTTTTGGCTTTAGAGATTTTCCAAAGTTTGTTTCATTATCTTCCTAATGAAATAGACATTGGAATGCAGTATATGCAAGCAGCCAATTTCAAAGAATTTTGAGAGGCTATAATTTTCGAAAGAGTTTTTTCCTGAACATCAGCGATTCATGCCAAGAAGAACTGGGCAAAATTTAAGGCAAAGGGTTGTTTAATCAAATACCAAAAAAATATACCTAGTAATATAGAGCTGAAAAAAAATCACTGATGTATAATGTATATTAACCTCTGAAGAAGACCAAAGGGGAAAAATGCCAAAGGCCTGTAATAATAAAAACAATTGGCTTTTTTAATATATTCTACGGTAAATTTGCAGATTAAGCCCCGGAAACCAAATGTAATGAAAATTTCCATTCTGGTGTGAAATTGCCTGATTAATTCCAAAATAATAAAAGTTTGTGGAAGAAAATCGTTTAGGAGTTGTGCGGAAGCTTACTTAGTTAACGGCCTTTTTACTGATTGTTTTATTCGTCATGATTACTGCGCAGTTCGTGAAATTTAAAGTTCGCGCATAGCTCAGTAATCAATACAAGGGAAGCTTCCACGCATTACTAATAGTGGCAAAGGTATGTAAAAAAAAAAAACAAAAAAAATGTCAGTAATGGCGGCCGGGCTGTAAACGCGACGCGAATGAGGCCAAACTTATTTTGTTGAAACTCCTAAATGGTTTTCTTCTGCAAACTTTTATTCTTGTTTTTAAAATAAGCATGCAAATCTACACTAGAATGGAAATTTTTATTACAATTGGTTTCCAGAGCTTAATCTGCAAATTTATCTATTATTCTCTGTGCCATCTCTATTCAAGATGTTGGCTATCATGACTCCCCACAATAACTGTAACGCTAAGTAATTTTTGTCTTTTTGTTTATATCATCTGAAGTAATTTCTGCCATCCATTAAGTCGAGCTTGTTAGGTAGATTATACTCTGTTTTTCTCTGTTACTCTTGACTTCAATTTGAGTAAGTTTTCCAAGCCCTCTTTCCTAATTATGTGTCCTAAAAATGTCAAATGTCTCTTTATAATGCTACCTATACGTGACCTTTTTGGTTCCATTCTCCTTGAAATTTTGCCATTGCTCAAATATTCAGTCCGAGGTCTTAGTATTCTTCAGTAGATCTTGAACACATCTTGAGCTCTTCCGATATCGAGAATTTCCTCTCTATTGTCGAATTCCCTTAACGCTTCCAATCTACTTTCCATGATATTTATTCTCTGATTTCTGTGCTACCAGAAGATATTGAACTTCCACTGCAACAGAAAGAAATGTAAATTACAGTTTAATGTGAAACTCTAAAGAGCACCTCATCCTCCCATTCCATTAAATGCAAACTTCCACAAACAATTTAGCATTGAATGCTTTCATTCCGCGTCGTTAGTTTTCGTGACGTTGAGCGATTATTGTACAATTTATGAATTCATAATATTTGGTTTTATTTTATTTTTCACACTCGCATTTATGACGTCAAAAAGCTTAAGGAGACAACGTTAAGAGAAAACCTCCCAGAGTTACTTCATTATTAATGAAAACAATAATAAGGCGAGGGTCAAAATATTGGCATTGCGACTAAGGCTTATCTTGTAGTCAGGTGCCGGGAAGTTATTCCCAGCTAAGCCTTGATATATCTGACTGATCTCTAGATTATGCCAAATGAGATGCCCTTTAGTATTGGAAAAAAAAAGAATGAATCTATGGTTTTAGTAAAATAAGCTGAGAGAGCCGAAAAAACAGGACTACCTAGGGAACAGAAAGAATCGAGCTGCCGAGGGAACCGAAAGAACCGGGATGCCGAGGGAACAGAAGGAATCGGGCTGCCGAGGGAACAGAAGGAACCGGGCTGCCGAGGGAACAGAAGGAACCGGGCTGCCGAGGAAACAGAAGGAACCGAAAGAACCGGGATGCCGAGGGAACCGAAAGAACCGGGCTGCCGATGGAACTGAGGGAATCGAAAGAACCGGGATGCCGAGGGAACAGAAGGAACCGGGATGCCGAGGGAACTGAGGGAATACAAAGAACCGGGCTGCCGAGGGAACAGAAAGAATCGGGCAGTCGAGGGAACAGAAGGAATCGGGCTGCCGAGGGAACAGAAGGAATCGGGCTGCCGAGGGAACAGAAGGAATCGGGCTGCCGAGGGAATCGAAAGAACCGGGATGCCGAGGGAACAGAAGTAATCGGGCTGCGAGGGAACAGAAGGAATCGGGCTGTTGAGGGAAGGAATCGGGCTGCCGAGGGAACAAAGAACCGGGATGCCGAGGGAACAGAAGGAATCGGGCCGAGGGAACAGAAGGAACCAGTCGGGGAACAGAAGCCGAGGAGGGAACAGAAGGAATCGGGCAGCAAGGGGAATCGAAAGAACCGGGATGCCGAGGGAACAGAAAGAACCGGGATGCCGAGGGAACAGAAAGAACCGGGATGCCGAGGGAACAGAAAGAATCGGGCAGTCGAGGGAACAGAAAGAACCGGGATGCCGAGGGAACAGAAAGAATCCGGGGGAACAGAAAGAACCGGGATGGAGGAACAGAAAGAACCGGGATGCCGAGGGAACAGAAAGAATCGGGCAGTCGAGGGAACAGGAAAGAATCGGGCAGTCGAGGGAACAGAAGGAATCGGGCTGCCGAGGGAACAGAAGGAATCGGGCAGCCGAGGGAATCGAAAGAACCGGGATGCCGAGGGAACAGAAAGAACCGGGATGCCGAGAGAAAAAAGAAAGAATCGGGCAGTCGAGGGAACAGAAAGAATCGGGCAGTCGAGGGAACAGAAAGAATCGGGCAGTCGAGGGAACAGGGAACAGGAACAGAAGGAATCGGGCTGCCGAGGGAACAGAAGGAATCGGGCTGCCGAGGGAACAGAAGGAATCGGGCTGCCGAGGGAATCAGAAAGAATCAGGCAGCCGAGGGAACAGAAAGAACCGGGATGCCGAGGGAACAGAAAAGAACCGGGATGCCGAGGGGAACAGAAAGAACCGGGCAGCCGAGGGAAAGAATCGAAAGAACAGAAGGAATCGCTGAGGGAACAGAAGGAATCGGGCAGCCGAAAATCAAAAGAAAGAACCGGGATGCCGAGGAAAAAGAAGAACCGGGATGCCGAGAGAAAAAAGAAAGAATCGGGCAGTCGAGGGAACAGAAAGAATCGGGCAGTCGAGGGAACAGAAAGAATCGGGCAGTCGAGGGAACAGAAGGAATCGGTCTGCCAGAAAACAGAAGGAATCGAGGGATCGGGAAAGAACCGGGATGCCGAGGGAACAGAAAGAACCGGGATGCCGAGGAACAGGAATCGGGCAGTCGAGGGAACAGAAAGAATCGGGCAGTCGAGGGAACAGAAAGAAAGAATCGGGCAGTCGAGGGAACAGAAAGGAATCGGGCAGCCGAGGGAACAGAAGGAATCGGGCTGCCGAGGAACAGAAGGAATCGGGCAGCCGAGGGAATCGAAAGAACCGGGATGCCGAAACAGAAAGAACCGGGATGCCGAGGAACAGAAAGAACCGGGATGCCGGAACAGAAAGAACCGGGAACGAGGGAACAGAAAGAATCAGTCGAGGGAACAGAAAGAATCGAATCGAGGGAACAGAAGGAATCGGCTGCCGAGGGAACAGAAGGAATCGGGCTGTTGAGGGAACAGAAGGAATCCGGGATGCCAAGGGAACAGAAGAAATCGGGATGCCGAGGGAACAGAAAGAATCGGGCAGCCGAGGGAATCAAACCGGGAAAGAACCGGGATGGGCAGTCGAGGGAACAGAAGGAATCAGTCGAGGGAACAGAAAGAACCGGGAGTCGAGGAACAGAAGGAATCGGGCAGAGGGAAAAACCGAAAGAATCCGGGCAGTCGAGGGAACAGAAAGAACCGGGATGCTGCAAACGAGGGAACAGAAAGAATCGGGCAGTCGAGGGAACAGAAAGAATCGGGCAGCCGAGGGAACAGAAGAATCGGGCTGCCGAGGGGAACAGAAGGAATCGGGCAGCCGAGGGAATCGAAAGAACCGGGATGCCGAGGGAACAGAAAGAACCGGGATGCCGAGGGAACAGAAAGAATCGGGCAGTCGAGGGAACAGAAAGAATCGGGCAGTCGAGGGAACAGAAGGAATCGGGCTGCCGAGGGAACAGAAGGAATCGGGCTGCCGAGGGAACAGAAGAAGGAATCGGGGAACAGAAAGAATCGGGATGCCGAGGGAACAGAAAGAATCGGGCAGTCGAGGGAATCGAAAGAACCGGGATGCCGAGGAACAGAAGAACCGGGAAAGGGAACAGAACCGGGGCAGCCGAGGGAGGGAAAGAACCGGGATGCCGGGAACAACAAAAGAACTGGGCAGTCGAGGGAACAGAAAGAACCGGGATGCGAGGGAACAGAAAGAACCAGAAAGAATGCCGAGAGGAACAGAAAGAATCGGGCAGTCGAGGGAACAGAAGGAATCCGGGGGAACAGCAGGGGGAACAGAAAGAACCGGGATGCCGAGGAAACAGAAAGAACCGAAAGAAAAAAGAAAGAATCGGGCAGTCGAGGGAACAGAAAGAATCGGGCAGTCGAGGGAACAGAAGGAATCGGGCTGCCGAGGGAACAGAAGGAATCGGGCTGCCGAGGGAACAGAAGGAATCGGGCAGCCGAGGGAATCGAAAGAACCGGGATGCCGAGGGAACAGAAAGAACCGGGATGCCGAGGGAACAGAAAGAACCGGGATGCCGAGGGAACAGAAAGAATCGGGCAGTCGAGGGAACAGAAAGAATCGGGCAGTCGAGGGAACAGAAGGAATCGGGCTGCCGAGGGAACAGAAGGAATCGGGCAGCCGAGGGAATCGAAAACCGAACCGGGATGCCGAGGGAAACAGAAAGAACCGGGATGCCGAGGAACAGAAAGAATCGGGCAGTCGAAACAGAAAAGAATCGGGCAGTCGAGGGAACAGAAAGAATCGGGCAGTCGAGGGAACAGAAGGAATCGGGCTGCCGAGGGGCAGCAGAAGGAACCGGGATGCCGAGGAACAAAAGAAAGAACCGGGATGTCGAGGGAACAGAAAGAATCGGGCAGCCGAGGGAACAGAAGGAATCGGGCAGAAAGAATCGGGGAACAAGAAAGAATCGGGCTGCCGAGGAACAGAAAGAATCGGGCTGCTGCCGAACAGGGAAACAGAAGGAACCGGGCTGCCGAGGGAACAGAAGGAACCGGGATGCTGAACAGAAAGAACCGGGAGGAAACAGAAGGAACGGGATGAAACAGAAAGAATCCAGGAGGAACAAAGAATCGGGCAGAGGGAACCGGCTGCCGAAACAGAAGGAATCGGGCTGCCGAGGGAACAGAAGGAATCGGGCAAGAGGGAATCGGAACCGATGCCGAGGAACAGAAGGAACCGGGATGCCGAGGGAAAGAACCGGGATGCCGAATAACAAAGAACCGGGCCGCCGAGGGAACAGAAAGAATCGGGCAGCCGAGGGAACAGAAAGAATCGGGCAGTCGAGGGAACAGAAGGAATCGGGCTGCCGAGGGAACAGAAGGAATCGGGCAGCCGAGGGAATCGAAAGAACCGGGATGCCGAGGGAAACAGAAAGAACCGGGATGCCGAGGGAACAGAAAGAACCGGGAAAAGAAAAAAAAAGAATGCCGAGGGAAGGAATCAGAAAGAATCGGGCAGTCGAGGGAACAGAAAGAATCGGGCAGTCGAGGGAACAGAAGGAATCGGGAATCGGGCAGCGAGGGAACAGAAGGAATCGGGCTGCCGAGCCGAGGGAACAGAAACCGGGCTGCCGAGGGAACGGAACCGAGGAATCAGAAAGAAACCACAGCCGAGGGAATCGAAAGAACCGGGATGCCGAGGGAACAGAAAGAACCGAGGAACAGAAAGAATGCCGAGGAACAGAAAGAACGGGCGGGGAACAGAAGAATCGGGCTGCAGAAAGAACCGGGCTGAGGGAACAGAAGGAATCCAGAGGGAACAAAGAACCGGGAATCAAAGAACCGAGGATGCCGAGGGAACAGAAAGAACCGGGATGCCGAGGAACAGAAAGAACCGGGATGCCGAGGGAACAGAAAGAAAGAACCGGGATGCCGAGGAACAGAAGGAATCGGGCTGCCGAGGGAACAGAAGGAATCGGGCAGCCGAGGGAACAGAAAGAATCGGGATGCCGAGGGAACAGAAAGAACCGGGATGCCGAGGGAACAGAAAGAACCGGGATGCCGAGGGAACAGAAAGAACCGGGATGTCGAGGGAACAGAAAGAACCGGGATGTCGAGGGAACAGAAAGAATCGGGATGTCGAGGGAACAGAAAGAATCGGGCATGCCGAGGAACAGAAAGAATCGGATGTCGAGGGAACAGAAGGAATCGGGCAGAAGCCGAGGGAAACAGAAGGAATCGGGCTGCCGAGGGAATCAGAAAGAACCGGGATGCCGAGGGAACAGAAAGAACCGGGATGCCGAGGGAACAGAAAGAACCGGGATGCCGAGGGGAACAGAAAGAACCGGGATGCCGAGGAACAGAAAGAATCGGGCAGTCGAGGGAACAGAAAGAATCGGGCAGTCGAGGGGAACAGAAAGAATCGGGCATGCCGAGGGAACAGAAAGAATCCGGGCAGTCGAGGGAACAGAAAGAATCGGGCAGAAAGAATCGAGGGGAACAGAAGGAATCGGGCTGCCGAGGGAACAGAAGGAATCGGGCTGCCGAGGGAACAGAAAGAACCGGGATGCCGAGGGAACAGAAAGAACCGGGATGCCGAGGGAACAGAAAGAATCGGGCAGTCGAGGGAACAGAAAGAATCGGGCAGTCGAGGGAACAGAAGGAATCGGGCAGTCGAGGGAACAGAAGGAATCGGGCAGTCGAGGGAACAGAAAGAACCGGGATGCCGAGGGAACAGAAAGAATCGGGCTGCCGAGGGAACAGAAGGAATCGGGCAGTCGAGGGAACAGAAGGAATCGGGCTGCCGAGGGAACAGAAGGAATCGGGCTGCCGAGGGAACAGAAGGAATCGGGCAGCCGAGGGAATCGAAAGAACCGGGATGCCGAGGGAACAGAAAGAACCGGGATGCCGAGGGAACAGAAAGAACCGGGATGCCGAGGGAACAGAAAGAACCGGGATGCCGAGGGAACAGAAAGAATCGGGCAGTCGAGGGAACAGAAAGAATCGGGCAGTCGAGGGAACAGAAAGAATCGGGCAGCCGAGGGAATCGAAAGAACCGGGATGCCGAGGGAACAGAAGGAATCGGGCTGCCGAGGGAACAGAAAGAATCGGGCAGTCGAGGGAACAGAAAGAATCGGGCAGCCGAGGGAATCGAAAGAACCGGGATGCCGAGGGAACAGAAAGAATCGGGCAGCCGAGGGAATCGAAAGAATCGGGCTGCCGAGGGAACAGAAAGAATCGGGCAGCCGAGGGAATCGAAAGAACCGGGCTGCCGAGGGAACAGAAGGAATCGGGCAGTCGAGGGAACAGAAGGAATCGGGCAGTCGAGGGAACAGAAGGAATCGGGCTGCCGAGGGAACAGAAAGAACCGGGATGCCGAGGGAACAGAAAGAACCGGGCTGCCGAGGGAACAGAAGGAATCGGGATGACGGGGGAACAGAAGGAACCGGGATGACGAGGGAACAGAAGGAACCGGGCAGGCGAGGGAACCGAAAGAACCGGGCTGCCGAGGGAATACAAAGAACCGGGATGCCGAGGGAACAGAAATAAGCGGACCGTCGGAAGAACAAGAATCCAACATCTGAAAATAAACTATGTTTAAATCAATGAAGATAGAAGATGAGGAAATACTGAAAAAGTTTATAATGATGAATATATTGGAAGTCATAATGATTGATTAATAAATACGAAACGAGAAAGAAGTTCATGAAGAAATTGAAAACGAATACAACATAGAATAATTCTTGTGATGAAGAATAACGGATGATTGTTTAATGTACAAAATGAAACATGGAGGATATGGAGTCAGTAAAATGGAGGAACAACGGGTTTTTTTTAAAACAAACACAAAAGAAACAACTTCGTAGAATCAAAAGAAATCAAAGACAAATAATAATCCCAAAAAGATGACATGAATAGAGAAAGGAGAAGTAGAAAGAAAGAAACTCTACTGGAAAGGATTATCAAAATTTTCTTAGCAATAATTAATCCAAGTAGACAATGAAGAATAATGTCAAGGAATATGATAATACTTTGCAAAATGGATAAAGATAATGAAGACAAGGCAAGTGTCCCAAAAGATCTTATCCTCCAGAATACAGATCTTAATTACTAACCCATTTCTTTCCAGCTACTACTGGTGACCACAGATTGTGTGACAACCTTTTTATTTCGTAGCAGCAGTGCAACATGATTAACTATTGATTCTGGCTCAAAAATAACGACAGCAGTCAAGGGAAACTTTTAATGAATAACTGTTTCTTGTACCGGTATGGATTTTTCTTTTGTAAAATCGAAGTGGAAAATGCGGTTCTCTGCTAATTTCGTTGAAAATAAAGATTGTAACCGACACATAAATATTTTAGAAAAGATACAAAGAAACTTTAGTTAACGATGGAGGAAATAGGAGTTGATAATAGTTTAACTGTACGTTTCATTAATTTTTGTCCTTTATTAATACAGCGATAACTTGGTGATTAATTCAACGACATTTCAAAAACCCAACGGAAAAATATCATAAAACATATCAATGGACCGGATTAAAACAGATATCAACATATTTTTCGTTTATATAATTTTTCGTTCTATGAAACGTCCGATATTATTAAGAAAAAAGCGAAACGCTCATGGGAGAAAGCTAGTTTCATAACTATATATATATATATATATATATATATAAGTATGAAACTAGCTTTCTCATATGAGCGTTTCGCTTTTTTCTTATTAATATCGGATATATATTTCAATAGCATTTTCGGATACAACAATACACATATTTTCGTTGTCCTCTTATTACTAAGAGAAAAAACAAGAACAACATCTATTCTATACCTGAAGATGTCTGTAGGAACAGACGAAAGCTTGTAGTAAAAATAAGAACTAATACGGCAGAAATTTATGGAAACAAGGATCAATTCATTCATAACGGATTCGGAGGTTTTTGTATATTATTTGAATTGTTTGCGATGATGGATTTCTCGCCAATTAAATCATTAACCTTTGCTTTTGTTTTTGTGTGAATAATTTATGAATTTGTATATTGATTGCACGTTTATCGTAATATATATATATATATATATATATAAAAGAAGAGAAGAGAGGTGCCGCAAACGTTTTTGGTTGTAATGTGGATTTATTTAGAAAAAATATGCTTTGTTTTACATAATTTTACGACACGTGTTTCTGGTCTCGCGACCGTCTTCAGGTAAAAGTGGAGATTTACACATATTATTAAAAATAACCAGAAACACGTGTCGTAAAATTATGTAAAACAAAGCATAATATTTTTTCTAAATAAATCCACATTACAACCAAAAACTTTGGCGGCACCTCTCTTCTCTTCAATATACATACTTTTCTCTCGTTGGAACCACAACAACATATTTCTTATACATATATATATATATATATATATATATATATATATATGTCCAGACGTAATATTTTATTTACCCCCTTCTGTAATGAGCAAAGAATCTTCAACACACTAGCATATAACTTAGTATCAGTTGATTTCTGAAGTAATAAATATGTCATGCAATATTTAACCCACCAATGCTCAATGTAATATCAGCTATCAATAAAATTTAAAATAAATATCCTATATTAATTATAGTTTGCTCCCTACAACTCAAAATGTCAATACTCTCTAATGTGGACCAGTTTGCATTAATCGCTTAATAGAAGAAAGATTGGCAAACTACGAACTGCTGCTAATAGATATATTAAAATGCAGAATATGTGCACCATATTCACTATTCGTCCATGCAATAAATATTGCTGTTACATCTGGTCTGGTGTTACTGATATGTATTTAGATATTCGTCATAATATACAAAGTAGAATCTGAAATTTTATCAGGCCTGACTTATCTCGGATTCAGTCAGATTTCTATCGCCGTAATATAGTCTCCCAGTGATCTTTCTACCAATAGTTCTATGGTAATATCCAACTCATTGAAATTGAATGGAAAATCTTCCACATACAGGTTTTCAAGCGGGCCATGTCATTCAAGACTATTTTATATTTTGCCCCAGCCAATATTCCTCGTCTTGTTAGTAATTTCAAAACCTTAGAAGCATTTATTCGTTCAGCGAATGAAAACAAGCAACTATCTTTCATGATGTTATGTACAAATGATTTGAACGGTCGCATAAAGTCATAGAAACCAAGTAAATGCTTTAATGACGGAATAATTATGTAAATTCTATATAAAAATCTATATCGCTCTCTATATATTTTTTAAATCAATACCTCTGAGCCAGGTGACAACGCTTCTAAGACGCAAGGCGCTGGTGGATGTGAACGAGAATTAGGAGGTTTTCGAAGGAACCGGAAACCGACTATTTAAGTGGAAAGAAAAGATAAGCCTCTAATCCTGTTAAAAAGACCAGAAAGGTGTATAAAAGTAACGATAGGCGAATGTATTTACTGCTATTTTGGGGAATAATAGTAAATATATTTTCAGAGTCTAGGAGGATACCTCAGAAGAACAGAGTTGAAATAGACCTTAGAAGAAACCGGAAACCCAATCCTAAACAGGAAGCAAGTGGTAAACCTCTACTCCTGTTTAAACGAGCGGGAAGATGAATAAAACTGAGATGAATATTAATACCAAATTACTAGTTCAGCTAGACCGTAAAATAACGACATTTTAAATATATTTTTCATATTATGATGTTGCAAAAAATCTGATCAAGTAAGTAAGCATAATGATTGGGTTGAAAAACGTTTCAGTATTTGTGTTACTATACTTTGCTGTTTCATGTATTCGGTGTTCCCTCTGACTTCAAAAACATGTTGAAACAGTCGATCAGTTTTGTGACAGAGAAGAATTCTTAGTGAAATATTATCGTTATACAGTCCCACAAAACTGGAGACTGAAGCTTTCGCATTGCAAAGGTAGTGTTTCATGGAAGAAATATTTATTCTACTATTTATTTCCCTCATTATGGGCACTATTATATCCATGACTTAATAACACCGTAGTTCACGGACAGAAAGAAATGGCTGAGAGGAAAAGGAAGGACAAATATGATTTGTTCTCGCAAAAAACGTTTTATACTACTAAGACATACACAAAACTATATACATTAATATACACATGTGCTCCACGCGGAGAATAATCACATACATCTATACAGTAAAGCCGAGTGTAAGGATAAAACAAAAGGAAAGTTCTTACATATACTATAGAAATACTATTCTATTTGATGCAGCCATGTTATGGGCTTCTTATTCAAACAGGCAGGATGCGTGTATGTTCTAGGCGAGGAAATACTCCACGAACGCGAATCAGCGGCTGTTGAGTTTTCCCAAATTAAGCAGTGAGCGCTGGAGTTTCTTTCTATATCTGAGAAAGATATATTCCCAAATGAAAAAGGCACCATGTATATGTAAGCTACTGAGTGAGACAGATTTAGCCTCTGCTAAATAAAGTAGCATTACGGTTTGGTTGCAGTACAACGAACTGAATTTGATTGCCGCTTTCGTCACTGTATGGAGTGACGTCATTAAACGGATGTCATGTGAGGCACGTGATTTATCTCTACTAAAGGGAGATAAGCCACTTCTCTGTCCATACAATATGCATAATTATTCATCATCTAACTCCGAATATCGGCAAGTGGGTGCGTGGATTTTCCCTGAAAATATATTCTTTTCCTCCTTAGGATTTAAGAGACACTCGCTCGGCCCTCTAGAATGACTGCTTACATATCTAGTTATACATTTTATTCCACGTTCGCACATAAAGAGCAGCCACTGATCTCTGTTTAAGGCGCCTATTTGCATTTGGCGGCTAGAAGGACAACTCTCAGAACAACTCGTTGATGCACCTCGAATCTCTGAGGAACGCTGAATGTATAGACATTCATATCCTACAATAAAAAAAAAATCAAGGGAGATAACTCTAGTGAGGCAAAAATTAGACATTACGAATAAATACTTTTTTTTTCTGAAAAATTGTCTCTTATTCCTCATTTCTTTGCATTTCTTTCACCCAAAATCGCATTCATACAAATATCCATCTGCGATAGAAACATATATAGACACACATACACAGAAATAGCTGCAAAATTATTAAGTCGAAATTTGTAATAAATGAAACAATAGAATATTCTTCCAAATAATACTAAAGCGATCGATGTTGTTTTATAAAATGTTGAAATATCCGCTTATACAGAAAAAAATACACGAAAATGGCAGCCAGACATCTTTATCTGCTATCTTGGTGATAATAATAGCAATTACATTCTGCGACTAGTAATTAGTAAGTACTTAATTTTTCAATCTGATTTACTAAATGATATTTAATAATGTTTCCGTGAACGAAAAAAAATATCATCTGCAAAATGATGAAAAGTGGTTCTGTCAAACGCGAGAATGTGAATATTAAAAAAATATCGATATAGACTCAAAACTGAGTTGATCACGCTAAGTTCGATGTGAACAAACACTTCTAAAAAGGTTTTATATACGCTTTGTATCTGACGGTATTTCGAAATATTTAAGTCAAGCTATCAATAAAGTACCGGGCTGAGCATGTTCATGAAGTGAAACTATTCTATAGTAAAAAAAAAATCCCAAAAAATCAATGTTTAATGCACGATTGTGTCATTCAATTAACTTATACAGATGTGAAAAAATTTCCCTAGTAGCTTTGAATGACATGTCTAAGCATCATGTCAAAATAATCCACCCACCTCCACACCCTGAGCTTCTTTTAATATTTTAGTGTAGACCTGATGTTCAGTGGTTAATCTAGACACTCCCCTTAGTATATTTTTAATTCTGACCTTATGTCCCACCTTTAACTTACGAAAGGAGGTCAAGATTTGTTTTTAAATTAACCCTAATAAATCAATTTCATCACAAGTTATCTACCATCGCCTGAAAAAGTATCATCTTAGTACTGAAATACGAAAGATTTTGTGTACCGATTTAAGATGTTTTTATTGTAATTATATATATATATATATATATATATATATATATATATACACACCCCTCTTTTTTTTTTTCGCTGCGCAAATTCGCGTTGTTTTGATTTTGGTCTTCCCTCATACCATTAATCATTTCAATTTTTAATGTTTTAATTGTATGTAGGGTGTTTGTGGGAGTAAATGTATCTTTGCAATAAATTATTAATCTGTTCCCAGTCGACCCTGATGAGTTTGGGAACGAAACCGGTTGGTCTGTCTTGTAAGTGTTTTCATTTCTAATTTTATTTTCATATTTCACAGTGCCAATAAGAAACAACTTCTTTATTTTGCAATATATATATATATATATATATATATATATATATACTAATTTTAAGGTATGCTATATTTGAGTTAAACTACTCAATACTAGTGACAGAGCGTAATAATAACAACCTGCAATAGAACAATCAATAATAAATAAAAAAGTTAACAATCAACATTATAAATCAAAAACTGCATCCGGCTCCACAATTATTTCCATTTAATAGCGCCTAGAATAATTCGAAATATAACAGTTAGCGCCCACCCCCAAAAAACATTAGAATAACGTAAAAGACTACCGATAATAAAACACTGACCTGTTTATATAAAATGTCGAGCAAAAATACAGCGCAAATGGTCTGATGATTGAAACAGTCGCATCTTGGTGTTGCCTTCAATGTCCACTTTATATATATATATATATATATCAATGTGTTTTAGTGGAATCAGCAGTTTTCAATCTGCTTGTCTGAATCTTCTCCAAGATTCATCCCACAATCCTCACTCTTATTCCATATGCAATCTCCTCTGTAAATCACTAGCGGGTCTTAATTGTTACTTAAGATTATCGCACAAAATTTCCTAACTGAATCAATTGGTTAAGTTGTCAGATCCTCATACGTCGAAACCGACGTGAGAGCCTATTATATATATATATATATATATATATATATATATATATATATATATATATGTGTGTGTGTGTGTGTAAATTGAGTTCATCCCATGCAAGGCAGTAAAGCTACTGAGACATAAAGGGTTATTGATTGTGTGAGAGTTAGAAGGTGTGAGAACACAAGAAAAGTAATCAGCACTGTAGACGGTATATAGAGACATAGTCACATATATACAATCCCACATCTATACGCCCATATCTAATTCATGCATCGAGGCTCTCAGAAAGTAGCCCATTATGAGTCCCCTAAGTTCATGTCCAATGTAGCTCGGAATACATTTTGTATTTCTGTTATTTCTCTTAAATACTCTTCTGCTATCCATTTAGTCAGATCACTAAATGTGTTATGCGTAGTTTTCCTCTGTCTTTCTTGCCATCAATCCTTCCCGTGAGTGTCAGATTTTCTAAGTCCTCTTTCCTCATTATTTGTCCTAGAAATCTCATTGTCTCTCCATGATGTAAAGGAAAAGTTTAGATATTTTTTACAATTTTTTTTACATCTTCGTCTTTGCTTACCTGTTCAGACCATGGTGTACTCAGTATCCTTCTGTAGAACTGAATTTTGTATTTTTCACCTTTGATAGAGATTTGATAATTTTTTCAGTAGTCACTGCCATACAGAAGGACAGATTTTAGTACTCATTTCCTTTTTTAGTGAAGTTTTTTTTCTAAATAAACCTAAAAGACGCGCATACACATATAAACATACATAATGCACAAGTATATAATGCACACACACACACAGCACACAACAGTATAAATTTGATCAATTTTACGATTTTCTGTACTAGTTTTGTTTCTTTTCGGTTTCCCTTGATAATAAGAATTGTTTCCACGATTCACTTCGATCATTCTCAAGTCAATCTTCAAGAATGTCAATTTTGAAAAGTTCAGGTAAAATATCTATGTCATAGTCTTTCAGATAATAAAACCCTCAAATATATATTTTGAAATTCTTACCTTCCACTGAACCGGTGAGTTTGTATTTCCAATTCTCATGCCGAGTCCGCATTAATGATAGCATACAGATGCAACTGCATAGATTTTAATAGTTTATGTGCTAAATATTAAATAATTTAAAAGCAGTATTGCCTGAAACTAAATTTTAAAAAAAAAATTTCCAAAGTAAATTAAGATAGTTCTTTTGCAATTAATGCTATTACAAGTCATTCAATAGACGTTGTTTAAAAGACATGTATTGTTTACATTAATCACTCATCGAATATTGTTTG